CGAGTCAGCTGTAAATGGCATATGCTGTAAAAAACATGTTGAGTGATGAATTGTATGAGCCCCAATAAAATGATTAAAAAAAAAACAACATGTTGAAACAATTACTTTTCATTTCCTTCAGTCAATACGTAGAATGTGAACTATCTGGGGATTCTTTATCAGAAATAGTCTTGTTGAATATTAATAGTTGATTCAAATAATTCATTAAGAGATGTTTTATTTATAGCATATTAACAGAAATTGTGTATAAAATACTTAGTGAAATATGAAACTCATCAAGAATGATTGAGTCATTTCCCAAGTGTTTGCCATTTGTCAAACCTAGTTTACATGTCTTCAAAATGACACTTCATTTTGAACGACGTAGTGTTCTGGCTCCCTGTTCAGATCTAGTGCCCTCTGCTGTTCTTAGCCAGCACAAATACCTGCTGTTTTCTGGAACTCGTGGGAAAGCTCAACTTTTATATCGTTTCCTAAAGCATATTAAAATTTAAAAAGAAACTACTGCTACTGTAAAAATGCTTTTTAAAGAGAAATTTCGAGACCATGTTTAGGGAAGAAAATGGGGCACTAGATATAAATATGGTCCACCAAGGGCACGGAAGGAAGCAGAGAGGCAGGCACTCTGACCGTCGTCGTCAGCTGTCTGTGAGTACACATATTTATAATCACACAGGGAGTTGGAGCTTTCTATCTACAGTGTCCCGGTTTTGTCCTAAAGGTAACCTACATGTTGACATTGAAGGAAGTGAGAGCTCTGGGTGTATCGATTCATTACCTGGTTCCATCCTTTGAGTTCTGGTGGCATAGTGGTTATACGTTGGGATGCTAACCACGAGTTCAAAACCACAAGCAGCTCCAAGAGAGAAAGAGGAGGCTTTCTACTCTTGTAAAGAGTTACAGTCTCAGAGCCACAGAGCCAGTTCTACCCTGTGCTAGAGGATGACTATGAGTTGGAATCAACTTGCTAGAGCCCTGGTGGATCTTTGGGAGGATCCTTCGTCAATCTACCATAGCCATCACAGATGATCCTAATGTGCACTTTTGAAGAGGAACTACTGGTAACAGGTAGGAGAAAATAGGGAAACTTTGCTCTTCCGCGATGCACTTATAAAAGGGACATGCTACCCCGTCAACATCAAAGGCCATCCTCAAGGCAATTTTAGCCTACCCTGACGAATCCAGAGGATCCTTGTTGAAGGTTTACTTCCTGCTCTTGGACATCAGGTGCATGGGGATCTACAAGCTGGATGCCAAATAGCTGCAAAGCCAGGCCACGCCACCTGCAGAGGAGGACGGAAAACTAGAGACACTTCACTGATGCTTTCCGGTTCACTGTCTCTGACCTTGAGCCCCAGTAATATCCGTAACAGCTCCTAAACAGTTCTCCCTTCAGTGCTTTTGATGTGGTTTCCTTTTAAAAAGAAAATCAAAGGGGAAACAAAAGATCTACTGTTTTATTTACTGTAGCCTTTTCCTTGCCTTGAAACACTATGTCCCATGGGAAACTTCATCTAGAATATGGTAATTAAATGGACAAGATCTGCTGTTAACGACTACACTCAGGGGCATAGCGAGGGGGAGTCTCAAAGTTGTGCCCCTTCCAACTACAAGATGGAAGACATTAGGCATCAGCAGAAACATCTCCAGCTGCCTCAGCCACGTACCTGTCAGCCTATTATAGCACCTTGAAATATCACTTCAAGACTTATCTGGTGCTGCCTTGAACTTGCCCACAGGGAAGAAGCAACCCCTTCTGTCCACCCTTCCTTCCCTCTCCCCTCTGCCTCCGCATGTCTCCCGTGCTTGAAGCAGGGCATGAGGCGCATGGATTCCTATTAAGAGAAATTCCTCAATGGTGCAGTTTGGAGGGACACCCAGGGCACATGCCACACCTGCCATACTTAACTCCGCCTCCAGCTAGACCCCCACTGCCCTGGGCCCGGGTCAGGGAGCACCACAGTGGCCTGCTTCTTCCGCAGTAAGGCTTGCTCCTGGAAAGGTGAGTAATCTTGCTGGTGGTGGAGTAGGCTGGGATGTTTTCTCAATATTCAACTGGTTTTGTATATAAACCTCTTTTTTAATACACATATGAATGTCTATGGATTTGTTTCTCTAGTCTACCTGGACTAACACACCGGATTTTTGGAAGTAGGTTGCCAGGCCTCTCTCTGGGTGACTCTGGGTGGACTGGTTAGCAGCTAAGCATTTGTCCATTTGTGCACCCAGGAACTCCCTGCAAACACAGGAGTCATTTATATCACTGAGACAGTCGGTGGCGGGCACGATCACCAAGTGGCGGTGCCATCAGATAACTGGCGTTGGGGTTGGCCAAGAAACCAGAAGCCCAAACTGCAAAGGCTCCTGTTGGACCTCTGGCATTCTCCTGGATGGCGTCACACGTGCTCAGGGTCCCCTCCTGACCAATCCTCTGCTCCCTGAGTCTCACCCATCACAGCCCGCCAAAGGACCACTCTGCCTGGCAGCTCCTGCCTCCAGTGGCTGGCAGGTTGGGTTTGGTTTCAGTGCATTAGCTTTATAAAAACTCCCTTCTTCAGTGTAACCTGTGGTGTGTCATCAAGGAGTTCTGATGGCGCTGTCAGGTAAGTGCTGGACTGCTAACTGCAAGGTTGGTGGTTCTAACCAACTAGCCGCTTCACAGGAGAAAGATGACCCTATCTGGTCCCGTGGAGACGTCCACCCTCCAGACCGTCTCTAGGGCTGTCGTGAGTCTGAATCCACTCAATGGTGGGAGGGCAGCAGTAATCAGGATCTAAAAATGAGATTGTAGAAAGTTTCATTAAAAGTAGACTGTAAGGGACTATGGTGAGGCAGATTAAAACCAGACTTCCTATTCCAGATTTAGAAGCAATGACGGTGGATCAGTGCAATTGCTGCAGCAGCTGGAATCCCGGCTCTGAGGTGCATGAGCTGTGAGCCTTGATCTCCTCTCTGTCCATCCAGTGAGACTACCGAGTCAGAGGTAACGGGGCTTTCTGTGAGCATTCGGAGAGGGGGATCTGAGAGAGCCGAGGGAAATGTACCTCAGGCAAATCTTTTTTCAGCCCTAGTTCTGAGTATGGCCGCACCACCCAGAATGCACCGGATCCCCTGGTTAGTACTTGGATAGGAGACTGCTTGAGAATACTGAGTACTGTATGTCTGTCCATCTGCTGTACTGTGATGGGTTGAGTATTGCTGTGAGCAGCAGAGCTTCCAGACTCCAGACTATGAATAAGGAATTGGAAGCCCACTTTGGAGGAAGTAGCTGCTAACAACCTTATGCGTCGTTTTGAAGCCCTGTCAGATACTGACGGCCGAACGAGCAGAAGCAGAACACTGGCAGTGACGGTGCCAGAAGACGGGCCCCTCGGGTCAGAAGGCCCTTGGAATGTGACTGAGGAGCAGCTGCTTTCTGAAAGTACAGTTGAACCCGGTGAAGTAAAGGAAGGAGAGTCTTCGAGAATCTTCATTTGCTGAAGGAGCAAAACTCCAGGTGACAATAGCCAAAAAAATCAACCGCGAATCAGAACTTGGGACTTACAAAGTATGAGACTAGGAAAATTAGAAGTCATCAAAAACTAAGTGGAATGCATAAAAATTAGTATCCTAGTTAATGAGCTGAAATAGACTGGTATTGGCCATTTTTAATCAGAAAATCATAGTTTACTTTGTCAGGAAGGAGATAATCAAAAGGAATGGTGTATTCATTGTCAAAAAGTCCAACCTGCACTGAAAGCATTCACCAAAGACAAGTCTCCAGGAATTGTTGTAATACCTATTTAAATGTTTCAACAAGCTGATGAAGCACTGGAAGCACTTACTCATTTATGCCAGGAATTTCAGAAGACAACAACTTGGCCAACTGACTGGAAGAGATCCATATTTGTATCCATGCCAAAGGTGACCAACAGAATGCTCAGACTGTATCACGTGCAAGTAAAATTGTACAGACCATCCATGTCATTGGGCTCATATGGAACTTGTACATTGATCAAGAGAAAGTTGTATGAACAGAACAAAAGGATACTGCATAGTTTAAAATAAGGAAAGGTGTATGTCAGGTTTATATCCTCTCATCATCCTTGTTCAATCTGTCTGCTGAGCAGATCATCAGAGAGGCTGGCTTATATAAAGAGGAATGTGGCATCAGGAGTGGAGGAAGACTAAGAACAACCTGTGACATGCAGATGACACGGCCTTTCTTGCTGAAAGCGAGGAGGACTTGAAGCTCTTGCTGATGAAGACCGAGGACTGCAGCCTTCAGTGTGGATTACGACCAAAAGAAAACCAAAATCCTCACAACTAGACCAATAGGTAACATCATGATAAATGGAGGAACGCTGAAGTTGTCAAGGATTTCTCCTTGCTTGGATCCACAATCAGTGCTCATGGAAGCAGGAGTTAAGAGATCAACAGGCGCATTGCATTAGGTAAATGTGCTGCACAAGACCTCTTTATAATATTGAAAAGAAAGGATGTTACTTTGAGGACTAAGTAACATACACCCCCAAGTCATGGTATTTTCCATCGTCTCACATGCATGTGGACAATGAATAAGAAAGACCAAAGAGGAATCAATGCATGGTGGTGCTAGGGACGAATATGGAAAGTTTCATGGACTGCCACAAGGGTAAACAAAGGCAGCACCCTCCTTAGAGGCAAGGATGGCAAAACTTGGTCTTACCTATCTTAGACATCTTGTCAGGATAGACTGATCCCTAGGGAAGGACATCATGCTTAGTAATGTAGTGGGGCAGTAAAAAAGAGAAGTCCTTCAACACAATGGATGGACACAATGACTCCAACAGTGAGCTCAAGCAAAGGAACAAGTGTGAGCACAGGGCAGTGCTGCATTCGGTTGAGCAGAGAGGCAGTATGGGTTGGAACCAACTTGACAGCCTCTAACAACGTGTGCCAAGTTCACATCTCACTGAATGGTAATAGCTTCCTAATCTGTAACTTCCAAAAAGCAGGAACCATGGATGTGGCACGGTTGATTAAGTGTTCAACAAATATTTTAAATCAATGTTTGAAAAATAAATTTGGAATTAAAACATATTTGGCTTCTATTAACCATCTACTTCATTTAGGGGGTACAAGAGGTTTGAGTGCCCACTTCTGATGTGATGGGAGAAGTACAGGTGCAAGTTGGCTCTACCCCAACTCCCCTGCCTTGGCTAATCTCACTCTGCATGTTGTCCTGCCTGCCTTTACCAAGGGAATGCCAGCCACCAAGCTCTCTCCTTTCCCTTCCAGAGAGCTCTGAATGCCCCCTCCCGCTCCCCAGGAGGAGCCAGGGCTGGAGAAGGTTGGCAGGTCCCTCAAGACCGCAGACTCCTTCAGCCAGTACAGATGCAGGAGATCTTGCCAAACCCAGAAAAAAGCCTCTTGGGGGTGATTTTTGGTTAGTTTCTGTCTGTTTAATTCCTCTCTCTCTATTTTTAAGGTTGATTTTACACAGTTGCGTTTCTGGTCAGTCCACTGTAGGCATCTGACTCCAGAAAACAGCTTGCTGTTTGACAGTGGTCAGCCTGGTGCTGTCCGTCCAGCCGTCCACTGACCGTCTGCGGTGAAGCTCGGCCCCTCTCTGGCCCCCATCAGGGGGGAGACTGCCTCATGGTTTTCCAGCTCGTGGAGACAAAGAGGTCCCGGCTCTTGGCCAGTCGGACCATGAGACGACCTACGTAGAAGCCACTGATCTGGCCCACGCCGTCGTTTCTTCCCATGGACAGGAGGAAAGTCAGCGCACCTGCGGAGAGGAGAGACGGGCCCAAACTAAAACCCTGCTTGACATACCTGGGCCTGAAGTCCTGCCAGGGGCCTGCGGTGTGAGACCCTCCGGGAGGCAGTCTGGCACCAGCGGCTCTGTCACCAGCTCTGAGAGTCTGTCCCAGTGGTCAGTCATCTGAAAGATGGAAAAGCTTCGCCACGCCGAAGCCCGTGGGCTTCCCTTACCAGGTTTGTAGGCCTTGAGGGGCCTCTGCTTCATGGAGTTGACGATGTTGGTGGTGACGATGTTGGCATGCAGGCCGGCATGATAGGCCATCTTGGGCTCCTTCACGTCCGCACAGTCTCCGATGGCGTAGACGTTGCTGTAGCCTTCCACCTGGAGGTTCTCATTAACTCTCAGAGCGCCGTTGCTGGCCAGTCTGCTCTCTGCCGGGCAAAACGAACAAGACCAAGAACCGTGGTTGCCGTTTTAAGTGGCCACCAGAGGACCCTCAAGAGCAGTGGTTCTCAACCTCCCTAATGCCTCGACCCTTTAATACAGTTCCTCATGTGTGGTGACCCCCAAACCATAACATTATTTTGTTGCTACATCATCACTGTAATTTTGCTACTGTTATGACTCAAGCGACCTCTGTAAATGGGCCGTTCCACCCCCAAAGGGGTCACGACCCACAGGTTGAGAACCGCTGCTCAAGAGGCACTGCCCTCCCCCTTTTTTCCTGCCTGCAGTCCCCATCTCAGACTCTTGTGCCGTATCCCGAGAAGCAGAGCTACTGCTTCCAGCTGTGTGGGACCTGGTCCCCAAAGACAAAACCCGCTCCCATCAAGTCAAAGCTCTCACTCACGGGGACCTACGGGACAGAGTAGGACTGGTCCACAGGGCTTCCAAGACTGTAATTTTTACAGAAGCAGACGGCCCTGTCTCGCTCCTACTGGCTAGCAGCTGCTGTGCCACCAAGGGGCCTGCGGCCTAAAGAAACCCTCCACACGTGTCATTGCATAGCATTCATACAACTCTCTTTCTCCTTCACACAACTCTTTAAAAATATCATTAATTTCCTTTTGAAGGTGGATCAAAAATGTTAAATAAATGCAGGCCTTTAATAAAAGAGATACTGTTTCGTGTTTAATGCTATCCTACTGGATAAATTAATGGCACTATCAATAGAATTACCTGAAGTCCAGGGGGAGGACTGATAATGTTCTCTATCATAAAATGATAATGAGGCCTTTAGAGTGAACTAGAGACATATATAAACCATAGATACGTGAGTGGATTTTGGATTCACACCTAATTCTAGCTCCACCCTATGAAGCATTAGCTCTTATGGCATGGCCCTGCTAAATGTTGCCCTCAGGGAGAGATCACTGAAGACAAGGGTGTTATAGCAAGTGTGGCCAAGAAGGCAGATGTGGCCGGCTATCATAAAGAACAGCATGTGGGGACATCAAAGGCTTGTCTTCAAACAAGCAGCCATCAAAGTGAGGCATCAACTAAGTCCACATGGAAGAAGTACACCAACCTGTGTGATCCAAGGATTTTAAAAAATAAAATCCAAATTTGAAGGAGGAAATGGTTTTCAGAAGGCTATGAAGGACCATGGGAACCCATTTGCAGGGTCCCTACATGGATGAAGCCTCCAGTTAGACAACTCTAACCAACATTAAGGTCTAATGTTGACGCTCAGAAGAGACCGGATGACCGGTTGGGATGAAAGGGGAAGGGGGGGGGGGGTTCCTGGGGAGAGGCCTGTGGGAGGGCACCCTCCCCTCTGACTGGCCTGCTGGAGAGTGAAGAGGCAGCCAGGGAACAGGCGCCCCAGGATCCTGCTTACCAAATGCACTGCGGTAGGCAGAGCTGTTGATCTGGATCCCAGTGCAGCAGATCACCAGGTTGGTGGCCACCTCCGTGCCTTTGTCAGTCTGCACTTTGATGTACTCTCGGTACTCATTGAGAGGCAGCTCCTTCAGGTTGCTCACCCGCTCACCTGTCACAGGGCAGGAGAG